TAATTATATCCGAAGGTACTGTAATTACGCAACTTGTATGCAACTCTGTACTGGCTTGAATATATCAACGTCGTTTACTTAGTGCACTGCTTTTCTAATTACGCAAATTTATTTACAATATTGTACCAGCTCTGAATATTTCAACTTCGTAATGTATTGCTTTCATGATAATTAGGTTTTTTTTAACTATTGTTAGGGCACTGACCCGGGGTATTAGGTCTGTGAATATTTCAATATCACCGACTTGATAATGCGTTGCATTCGTAATAATTACGCAAACATAAACATACCATATGTCAAATTAAATTTTACTATAATATAATAAACTCTGGGTAGCGGACTTCGATCGCATTATTCACGTACATTTCGACTGAACTCTAATAACCACGTGTTTGAATTACGTGCGGCATTGGGCAATGACATCCAGAGTTCATGCACTGATATTTAAATTCGGGCCACCCAGCTTGACACAAATCAATATACTAGTAGTTCATTTGTTCAAAGAATCTTTCAACTCTCACAAATACCATGGACGCGAAGAGTTAACTGGGGGTTAAATGAAAGGGAACGTCTTTCTTGGACAAAAAACACGTCAGTACAAGATTATGTGTGCAAGGTTATATTTATAGAAGGTACATGTTTTTTACCGAATCCGGTATAATGAAATGTGACACGAGGTCAATTGTCCGACCAATCAAAAATGTCAATTTACGCACCATAGGGCGGTTAACTTAAATGACGTAATAGAATAATGGCGGACACATGGTCGATGCAACCTTGGGATGCAATCCTGTGGACCAGCGACGAAAAAGCCATGTACACATGTACCAAGCTTTCCATCACGGAGATTCATAATCGATGTGCTGACCGATGGATATTTATCGACTAAGTAACAATCTTGCCCAACATCTGTAGTGTCGTGGGGGAATGATTTTTTCACATAAAATCTTTACCGAACCTAAACTGCTTGCTAACTGAAAGGCGGTGATGGCGGAGATCATCTGCGATTGCGGCGACACCAAATACTGATAACATAACATTATATGTATATTTTTAATGTTCATGCAATATATTCAGAGTTATCCACTTTATTCTGGCGCGCGAATTAATAGGATACAATTTTAAACATGTTTTTGAACGCCGCAAATTAAAAGGATACATTTAAAAACTAGCGTTCGAAAATAAAATGGGTGCGCAAACGAATAGAGACCGCGAATTAATCGAGTTTTTACGGTAGTTTCTTTCTTAGTTTGCCGTATGAGATTGTACAAACAATTTCCAGAAAGACATTTTAAATACGGGCCAGTGACTGTTCCATTCACTCTGGATTTACGCTTTTAGTGGCAGCAAATCCACTGGTATTGACAACCCATAATGGACTCAAGCACACTTTGTGCTCCATATTTGTACTCGGCTCACGCCATTATGGGTTGGCGGGTCATTCATTATTGTTTAAATATACAATACTGAACAAATAAAAATCAAACTACTCAAAAGTGAAGTTACCTCAACAGTGTATATGCACCTACATTACCGTACTTCCCCGAGTATAAGCCCTGGGGCCTGAACATGTAAATTCGGGAAAATTAGGGGGTGGGTTTATACTCAAGGACCTCCTCAGAAAATTCTTTTGGGGGGTTTAAAATTGTAACCATCTTCCCAACCACGAAAAATTATCCAAATTACATTTTTCGTTCACAGCGCCGGCCTCGGAGAAATATTACGTCTTTTTGATTTCCACGACACTTTTTAAAATGAAGAAACAAACGTGTTCATAAAAATACACACATTTTATTACAATATGGTTTACATACGTCTGAATTTACGGTGTAAAATGGGTAGGGTCTGTGGGAAAACAGTCGAAGGCAAAACTTTATCGTTAATATCTTTGTTGTAGAATGTTTTTGATCGTACGCAAACTCTCGATATAATGCAATTTCGGCCATAGTGTTTTTCATCATGATTTGACCTCAACAACTTCCTTTGACCTAACAGGTCACGTCTTTCGTTAACCAATCAAAATGCTGTGTTGTACAGACGAAGTTTTCCGATTATTGACGAAGTCATTTTTTCAACACAATGCGGAAGTGAATTACCGCGATGTTGAAATGCGATCTGATTTTGACAAAAAACAATGATTTTTTTCCCTAAAGCTGTTGATTCTCAATTTTCGAAAGGTAAACTGAGGGTGGAGGAAGTAATTAAACTTTTCACGGTCGCCAACAAGTCGTATCGAAAAATAGCTCGTTCACATCCCATTCACGATATTCTCAATTGACAGGATTATTCGGAAAAGTAAAACGATGTTCAATGATCAGGTTTCACGACTTGACGATCACATTTTTGGTGTGTCTAAAACCACTACTCAAAAGAAATATGGATTGCTTCAGTATTGCAACATCAGGGTTCATCCTGAGTAACTAACAGAATAGAAAAGGTCCGAACCAGGTTTTGTACGTTTGCCGGCTATGAAATTAATTTGAGTTTTCTCGTAAAGCAGGAACCAAACTATTGTACCAATCACGATTATTATTCAATGAAATGCACTTTTTACATGCACATTTGTAATAAATGTCGTTGACGCCCGATAAAAATATCCTGGGCCTATACTCGGGGATGCCCTCAACCTGATAAATGTCTAAAAACAGAGAGTGGGCTAATACTCTGGGAGGGGCTTATGCTCGGGGAAGTACGGTAATAACAAATAGGAGACAACTTTGTTGTTAAAAGAACATATGATACTTACTGAGACCGGTCACAGAATCACCAGCAGTACAAAGAAGATCTTGATGATGTTTTAGTTTAGTTTCTACATCATTATGATCAGTATGATACACTTCAATCTTAGATACTTTAGTACTAGGACTAATTCGAATGATTTTCTCTTGGGCAGGAATGTCTCTGAAGTGCTGTAGGAACAATAAGATTAATTAGTTAACCATTAATCTGTACTAACCACAATGTTTCGCTCCAGACCATTTTGGATAAATATCACGTAGGTGATTAACATATATATATATTGCAAATTAACCACCACACTACGTTACATGTATTTTCAAATTTCAATGCAATACAAAAATTCAAATGTTACAGAACACCCAATAACTATTGACATTGTTTTATTTTAACCTTTACTTGGAATACCACTAGATTTCACAATTCAATCTACCTGTAATTCTATGCGTGCTGTAATCTTGAGGTCCTTTTTAAAGTTTTTAACGTTAACACTATTACATGTCAGCGTTGCTTTACCCGTATTGCTACAATCCGCTGAAAAGGAGGGCAGACCTGGAGCACCAATCAGCTGTTGGGAAAATAAAAATAAAACATGATTCAGCGATAAACTTAAAAGAATGCAAATGTTACACGCCTTTTTTAAATGAAAGATGTTACACGCCTTTTTTAAATGAAAGATGTTTCATGTTTGAAAGAGAAATTAAAAAAAAAATAATTAAATTTTTTTTTTTTTACACAAAAAAAATATTTCAAATTCGAACACTCCCTTCAAATACAGTGGAACGAACACCACTAACAATGTTCCAAGATGTATTGTAATGTTCCAAAGAAAATTGATAGGAAGATATCAGTTTACTTCAATGCTCACTGTAAACGCTTTGAATGACAACATCAACGTTTGTCCTCATTCACAAAATAACTTGTCTGTATTTTTCTAAAATTTTGATCAGGAGATACAGCTAATAAAAATTAAGTCTATCTGGTTCAAAATGATAAAAAAAGCACAAATAGAAAAAATGATGGAATGTACATAAAAAGAGTAGAATGACGCACTAAGATCTGGGCGGGAAATACTGTGATGCTCAAAGTTGTTTCCAGTACATTCTTTGTCAAATTTTATTTTTCAACATACACAGACATTATTTTAAACTGAGAAAGTCAATTTTGTTCGGGTTCTGTTGATGTAATTTTTCACACAGAAAGTTTCTTTTTAAATACTGACCTTCAGCCCCCATGAAATAATGGTTCATGCCTAAATTTTGACCCAGGCAACTGACCCTCAGCCCCCATGAAATAATGGTCCATGTCTAAATTTTGACCCATGCAACTGACCCTCAGCCCCCATGAAATAATGGTCCATGCCTAAATGTCTCTGCACACACTATCATGATTACAATGATTGCATTCCCCCTTTTATTGTAACACATTGAATCAAGTAAGTCTTAGTAACATCTAAATTTAACAAGAGTTAATTTTTACTCACTCTGCATGTGACATTGAGTTTAGGCTGTACTGTGGGATTGCCGGCCTTGTCTCGTACTTCCACTTCAATGGACAGGGATCGTCCGTTCTCAATCACTATTTCATCATCCTCAGGAACAACGATGTGTAGAGAACGTGGTGGACCTTGAAATATTAAAATTGATCAATCAGTTTTCACAGAATATGACCAAGCAATAAATATGCAGTACATATGTAATAAATTGTAATGTATTTAACAAAATGTAATATCAAACTAAATGAATTGAACATACACAAAAAAAGTTCAAAGTTATCCATAAGGTATGTCAGTATTTGAACTTACCAGGAAGTAGTCGTAATTTCAAAGTCTGCATAGGTTCCTCCAGACCCGGTAAAGTAACTTTCAGATTGAATGATTTACCGTGATGAGATCCTACTATGCCGTCTGCTGTTACTCCTTTGACTATCAGGCTACAACCCTTAGCAAGCAGGCTCTCATATTTAAGGGACAGATCACTGAAATATAAACAATACAATATTTTGTCAAGAAACTAGGTTAGGACATTTTTTTTTTAGATTAAACCCCATTCTGAAAATAGAAGGAATGTAGTAATCCTATCAATTCATGTTGACTCTTATTTGGTGTGAACTGGTTTTATCTAGGATTTCCTAATGTTTGTTACGTAAAGGCCATGAGACAATCAAAAATGTACATCTTGTACATGAACATTTACGTAATTGTGAAATTTGTGATGTTAAATGTGGTCTATTAATTTAAAATAAACACCTAAAGTACAGTACAGTTCTCGAGGAAGCTTTGGCTTTTATGGCATCATTGTCGCCTACGCATGGCTTCATTGTCGCCTCAGCATCGCATCATTGTGGCATCAGCTTCGCGTCATTGAAAATTGAAGCTGTGTTCGCCTCTCTTATTTTGTGGCATTATCGTGGCCTCAGCTTCACAGTCTCATGGCATCAACATGGCATCAGCTTCAAAGTATTGTGACATGAGTATGACCTCATTATTTTCACATGGAAAGGCAGTAGAGAAAAACACATTTACAGAAGTTCAATATGTAATCGATTTGAAATTCAAAGCAGTAAGGAGAATAAAATAATATGACCAAGAGTAAAATGACATTTTAAAAATATATCTTGTTTAATTATTTAATGTTGGGTACCAAAAACTTTGTGAAGTACATTGCAATCTGCAAGGTGACGAGTGTCATATTGACTGCAAGGAAAATCGTGATGAATTTAAATCACGCGATGCAATCGTTCTTCGGATACAACACAATTTGCTATACGAAATGAAACTGTTCTTGTTATAAAATTACCTTATTTTCGTTCATTTTATTTGCTGGTAAGAGAACAGATTCAGATTCCTCATTTTGGTGGTATTTTTCTGTGTTTCGTTTAGTTTTAGCTGAATTCGATCCCATGCCCGGACTACTAATACATGCAAAACACGCGTACGCCGCCTGGTGTATCGGCGTTGTTGCCTGCCATCTTGATACAAAGTTCCAAAACAAGTGCGTACATTTCCAACTAAGATTGGATGGTTGTGGTGGCATTTGTCTGGTAAAATTTTACATCCAATTTTCACGATCAGTGATCTGAGCTCGATCTATACGTACTTTAAAAGTATTTTCGAATAAAAACAAGCCACAAGCCTTGTAAAAAATCGAATAGCACTTGACATGCAGAAATAATTTATTGGGCTTCAGAAAAAAAGCGTTCATTTAGTTGTAGCCGTAAACATTTGGTGACCAGTCGATGAACAATTTGAAACTTATTATACACACGGAAGTCCTTCGATACTGAATATCATCGACCCCAATCTGGTTTACCTTATTTCCCAACTTGCAAAGCTGATTTGTATCTCAGCCCAGTTTTTCTTTTTTCTTTTTTTGAACTGAGGTCAAATCCCAGCAGCCGTTTGTCAAAATACATGTATACTGATGTTTTTCAGTGAATGATTGTGAAGCCTGTCACAGCACAGTGAATCAACGCCGGAGATTGGATGGTACGACGACCCTTAAATTAGCATCAAATATGCTTTGTTACAACATTATTGATTGGCTGAGAGTCACCTGATCGGAGCACGACCTGGGTTGCCAACAAATGTCGTCAAACTCGTGAATTTCATGGATTCGAATAAAATAAAGCTAGCGATTGGTAAGACTGGATAATAATATATCCCCCGATGCTCTTTGAATTTTTTTATTTTATTTCAAGGCGAGAAATGGATAATTGAGGTTCCATCGATTTCAAGGCGACTGTTTCACCGCGACAACTCTACGCTGCGTTGTAGTTTCGCGAGGTAAAAAAAAAAATATAATAAATAGTACTTGTTTAATTATTTGGTTTTACAGCCCGCAAATTACGGGACATGATCCCCATGAATTACAACAATGTCATAATGATGCGATGCTGAAGCCAAGGTGAAGCTGAAGTGAAGCCAAAGCTTCCGCGAGAACTGTACTGTAACCTAGAGAGTATTAATGCTGAATATTCAAAGTACATTTGTAAATAATGGTCCTATAAAAGAGAGAGATCTTATGGCTGGAATATAGGCAACAATTCAAGATTGTATCACAAACTAATCTTAATAGAAAATATTTTATGATCTAGTCCATTTTCAATCATCGTACAGAGAATTCTGCTTGTGATCCGGTGGCTTTCTGGAACTCTAAGACTCTAAAATTCAATCACAACCAAAATCCAGGGAATCGCACGGTGATGTTTGACAAGTCATATATTTTGCAAATACAGTACTGTTGAATTTATTACAATACACATACATGCACTACTCCAATATGTCAAACGCTACAAAGAATTATGTTAACAATACAACTTTAAGACCTAAAATGGCAGACATTTTCAATAGACCATTTTCCGTACACTGCGAGAATCACGCGTTATGCGTGAAATCGAACGTAAAAAACAGGACAAACAAAGGTCATAGCATCGTAGTCGCATCAAACATCGCGTGGGATTCGACAAACGCGAAAGTATTTCGGGGACACTTCCATGCTTAATAATGTGCTGTCCACATTTGATGATAGGCAATTTCGATTAAGTGAGGGTATTCGGAAGCAATATTCCTCTGTCGAAGATCGGCCGGTCAATGTAAGCTGCGAAATAAGGAAATTCTAGTTCAAAATCAAATCGTTCGATTTTTGCGGCAGACGTTCGACGCGCGTCTTTCATGCATCTCGCGAGATCTTGCAATTGTTCGGAAAATCACCTATTATCATTGATGAAATATATGCCACTTCAAAGCAGCAACTTGAGGGTGAGGGGGATGTGCATTTACATTACTCGGGTAACAATGAATTATCTTACTTTGTTTCTAGCTTTGGTTTTATATCACTAGTAGGTTTTGTAGGATGACCAAACTCATCTTGCAAATCCAGAGGTATGTTGAATGGTTCACCAACGCGGAAAGGAGGATCCATCATTCCAACGCTGAATTTAGCAGGGGCCGCCTCTGAAATTAAATCACCAATCATAAAAAATTTTATTTGATCAAGATTATACATTAATTGATAATAACAACATGGACAACATTTTTTTTTAGTGGCGACGAAAAAGTATTCATGGCAACAGTGAGGAACAATGATGGTTGGACATGGACATGGGTTGGGAAAAATCTTGCTTACCCTAACAGGTAAAATTTAAAGAAGACATATTTCTATATATCTGTCATTTTTTCATAGAAAACAGAAATCAGTCTTACCTGTTACTGTAAATTTAATTTTACAGCTTGGCAGCTCTTTACCACCAAACTCTTTTGCACTACTTTCATTGAGTACTACTTGTAACTTCAGTGAATAAACACCAAGATTTTTCACATTTTCTAAAGAAAGCAGAGAAAGCTTAATGTCCTGGGTTCATCCCCAAAACGAAAGATTTAAACACTAAACCATGGTAGCTACAGATCTTAGATTACAAATTTACATAGAATTCTTCAAAGCATGCTCACTGCTACGACATTTGTCATTTTCGAGCGATTAATTTTTACATTTTGCTTGTTTACAAGTGTCGCGAGGGCAAAATGATTTAAAAGTGGCTTGAATGACAAAATTCCATCATTTCCCCATTTTTTCCCCTATTAATTAAAGTAGCTTACAGTATAGGCTGTTGGACTTGTTTACATTTTGCATGCATGCACAAGTGCAGTGAAGCAACTGTTCAAACCCAAAGATGCAATGAAAGTGTTGTCAGCTGGTGTTAATTGGAATTTATGTCAATTTGGTCTAAAATTAACAAAAAATCATAAAAAATGCATTAAAATTTGAAACATGTCACCATAATTTTGACAAAACAAATGGTGTTGAGAGGGTTAAAGCAGGTATGTACTGTAAAATCATTTAATTTTTGATGTCTTATTTACAAAGGAAACTGTGAAAATAACAAGATTCAAGTGAATAATTCATTCATCTATACTACATGCATATTAGTTCTGCTTACCCATTTTTCTGAACCAATATCCCCAGGCTTTTCCATGTTGGCTGATATGGGATACAATCCTCTCATCTCCATGAGGGGCTGACAAAACAGATTATTAGAAATATGTATAGTATATGTATGGTTTGAACAAATCAGTGGAAACAGTTGCCATAGTGATATAAAACTAGCAGCCAAGAATTTGAGAAAAATTAATCAGAATTCTCTGCATCTATGTTGCATATACATGAGTTAATTTACTTAGAAGACCATAGGGAGAGGAGGAAGGAAAAATAAAAAAGTAATTGAAAGAGACGCATTAAAGAAGAGATGGGAAAGGTTAAGCAACTTACCATGCCAAACAATCTTGAGTTCTACAAGTAATTTTTTAGATGAGTGAATACTCCCAGGAAGTCTGGAGATCGGTTCACCTTTACGGTTGTGAATTTCTACCTGAATAGCACCTGAGAGATGCGACAATAAAAACATTTAGAAATTGCATTACATTATCACCTGATTATTTTCTATCATTTTCGGAATAATATGTTTCCATAACAGGCCAATTAATATAAGTAGGGAAGTAGGGACTACCTTTTAACAGGTCATGTTATCAAAATCTTGCATTTAATACAGATTTAGGATTTGAGAAATAACCACCAATATGGCAGTTTGTCATTAGATTTTAAAAACAGTCATGTTCTGGTCTTCCACTCCATCAAAGGAATTAACAAACTTATCTTTGAACAATTTTCATAAAATAAAAGTTTGCGTTTCATCAAAAATATGGGTAGGTAGGGAGATACAAATTTTAATGGTCACCCCCTAACTTACCGATAGTTTTTTATGGTCACCCTCTAACTTACTGATATTGTTTCTAATGGTTAACCCCTCACTTACCGATAGTTTTGCCAGCTGCTCTCTTCTCATTGTGAATTAAGGCATCTCCTTCTGGCCATGAAACCACAATCTTTTCGGGTAATCTTACAAACAAAAATATACAAGATAACGTTTTGATAAAGTAGATCAATTAATCACTGTGTGAGGGAACTGTATGAGAATCAGACTCGTCATGGTTTAAATTCAGCAAAATGTATGATTTTTCAGCAGTGATGTGAAACTTGGGCAATACTTGCAATGACTTATTGGTTAAAGGTTTGGTTAAAAAGATTCACACATAATTACCCAAAAAATAAATAAATATTGTAGTGTTATTACAAGAAATCATTTGTTTTAAATCATAATTTTATATATTGTATGCATGTACATACCACACACTAAACTAACTCAAACAAGAACAAAAACAAAATAACATGTTTTGTTTTTTTTGAAAATTACAGACCAAACAGTGTATATTTGATTTGAAATGAAAAATCATTTACCTTCCTTCTTCCTCTTCAATGTACTTTTTGATGGCACTTTTCGGTGCATTTCTGTCTAGTTTGGTTAATGGTATTGCTTTTATTTCATCATACAACAACTGTGGTTCCTATGGAGTCAAAATCAGGAGCAATTTGAAGTACTGTGCAGACAACTCTTTTATTATCATCAAAACATCAACATTTTCTTTCACTTTTAGTTTGTAATGGCTAAAACCCTTAAAACCCTTATTCTGCCATCTCTATATATATTTACATTGAATTGATTAGGACTAAATGATAAGTTACTGTAAAATACTTTATTTTCGCTTGGAAATAATTTTTGTTGAAGGAATGATTCAGTTAAAATAAAAAGAAGTGAATATACCTTTTTTGCTGAAAAGTATTTTATAGTACAACAATTTTGATCAATCTGATTCAAGAATGGCAGAAATGCTTGATTTTGATTAAAATGGCCGCCATTTAGATATCTTGAATTGAATTATAAAATGAAATGATATGCGACATGATGCATACATAAAATTTGAATATGATTGGTCAAGGTATGTCAGAGATAAGGCTCTGAAACAGCATTCAATAAAACAAAATGGCAACCAATCGGCCATTTTGAATTTGATGTGAAAACAAAATGATATGCATTAAGTCCCATAATATCTATTGTGTGTACCAACTTTGAAAAAAATCTGTTCATACATTCTTCGGAATAGTAAAAATGCATGATTTTGATTTTGAATTTTTAGCACAAAAATGGTCGCTATTTGTCCATCTTGCATCGAATCAGAAACGAATTGACGTGCATATGATGCCCAAGATATGCGAAGTTTTTATCAAGTTTTTATGTGATTGGACCGGGTATGTCTGAGATACAAGTGGAGACACAAGGACATGCACACAAAACTGGTAATAACTGCATTCGAAAAAGTTATTATAGCTGACAATGGTTTAGTCATTTACTTTTGCTTTCCAGTTTACAAAGGGATCAGTTTGGACTACCGTTAAAGTCCTATTATAAACCGCGGTTTATATTACAATGTATCAATTTAAAAATTGGGATCAAAAGCTCAAGTTCGGGGTGCAGTTTCTATTACGTACATATTGCAATCACTAAATGGGCATGGTCATTTTTTGTCCACAACACATGCACAAAACAAACAATACACCGTACAATCTCTTGAATAGGCGTCGGGGAAGAGTGAAAGGCCTTATTTTGGTTTTAAAACAGGCGTTACGAAATGTTGAAAAATTACAGTCAATCAAAAAAAATTGCACATGATACAAAAAATACTCAGTATTTTTAATGTAATATGCATTTATTTTTTTAATTTTCTTGGTAACGAAAAGTATATTCTCACAAAAGTTTCAAATAAAAACACGAATGCACTGCTTAGTAGCAAATGATCACATAACGGTAGCTCGATCCGGCCATGCTGCGGGTCACAAGTGAATAACTTACTTGTTTTCGAAGTGTTGATATTGGTGATTATTATTTAGTAGTGATTACAATAACGCACGAAAAATAAATTCGTTGAATTGTTATAAAATGCAAGTAAAATTCAACTTAGTTTCCCCGTAAGCGAATGATTTCAGTCACATGTAAACAGCCGATACGATATCCGCCATGTTTTTGAATGCTCACGTGACGTATTATTGACCGGATAGGTCAAGTGGCTAATTAACCAATCAAA